ATGTGAAAAATATGAATGTAACGTGTTAGTACAATTATATAACTTGTATATATATATATTAAATCTGAGAAAAAAAAACAATTTTATATACAATAACTTTATTGAAATAGAAGAAAGTACATTTGTATTCTTATAAAATAAAAGTAAAAAAAAATGGAACGAAATAAAATAACTTGAAATAGTAATAAAAAATTGATTTCCGAATGGCATTCGAGCTTTTCAAGCTACGTTAAAAAAAAGAAAAAAAAATTGTTAACGATTGTTCCAGATAAAACATTTTACCTTATCCCTTTTTTTTTCCTTTTTTTTTTTTTCTTTTACCGTCCACATGTCTAACCCACCCCCAACGTGTAATAGCACATTGATTCTCCAACATATCAAAGGACCAACATTTTTCTTTCTTTCCTTTTTGTTTCCTTTTCTATCAACGTACCAACATTCTTTTCTCCTTTCTACCTTTCTCTTTCCTGTTAACCGAACCCTCTCCTTCTTATGTTAGATTTCTTGACTTGTATGAATGCCATTCTTACGGGGGAAGCTATGCAATAAATTTCAATCGTGACATTTAAAATAAGATTATTATATATTATTATTCAAAACTTTCTGATAAGATTATAAAATACGTTTTTATTTGTTATATTTACATATATATCGTTAATTTTTTTTCTTTATCAATAATATTATATTTCTTTTGGTGTACGCGTATATGAATATATTTATGGAATAATATTGTAAAAATATTTTTTTGTTAAATTTAATTTTAATATTTTATTATATTGTGTGGTACTCGTTTAGGCACCGAAGTAAAAAATTAATAATAAGTGAAAATTAATGTTATTATTTATTTATTTTTTTTTTATAATATAAGAAAGCATTTGATTAATTGCAAAATTTGTTTTATTTTATTTTACAAAATGATTAATTATATTAATTCAAGTTCCAACGATAGCGTGTAAACATGCACTTTTTGTACATTGCTCTCTTAAGATACTCTTAAAGGTATCTAAAAGATTAAATAAACAATGATAATATGTTTTATTAGAAATTCCATTATTAGTTATAGTTCAACTTTCTATTTTATTATATTATATCATAATATATTATATTAATATATAAAAATCGCGTTAATATTACAATTGATTATTAAATAAAAACATTATATAATAAACATAATATTATATTATAAAATTTTTATATTTTTGTCGATATAAAATATGAAAACTTGTGACATTATTTATTAATTAGCTTAATATATTGTACATGAAAAATAAAAAATAAAAATGATACACTCTAAGGGCCAATTATTTTTATTTTATTTTTTGTTGTTGTTATTTTCTTATTGTGTAATTTAAGAAGCATTTTTAATGAGTAAAATATTATTATAGTATACATTTTTAATATCGTATTACATTTACCGATATAACTATCGTACGTAACTCTGTTTCGTAACTTTAAGACGTACTAGAAGTTTTCTTACCGAAAAGAAGAAGAAGAAAAAGAAGAAGAACGTAAGGAAAATTGTAAGAATTAAAAATCAATATCGATGCATTTTTGTTCAACGTGTAACACACATCTTCGAATATAATATTTTCTATTCATTTTTTCTTATATATATGCATGACGTGGTACTTACTAATCATAAGAGATCGCGATCATGTTAGAAAACTTTGACCGATCGATGTCGACCATTCCGTTATAATATTTACATTTTCTTTGTATTTACACTCCACATCAACTAGGTCTACTAGGGTTGCCAATATAAAAATATAAATGCAAAAATCAACGTTCCAATTTCTTTTTCAAAAGGAAGAAACCGTATTTATATCATTTCATGTATAGACAATTTCATGGTTTATCTCGAACATTAAACGTATCACGATTGGTTACATTTTACATGTAACATGGTTATATTTTACACTGTTATTTTTGATAAAAATAGATGTACGTAAACTTTTGATATATATTATATTTAAATCTATTATACTACATAATATTTTGTATTCACTTTCTTCAAACTCATCAATTATAAATTATATGATATTAAATCTTAAATTGTTTCTACACAAAATCATATTTGAGAGTTATATGTATTAATCAATATTCAATTGCATTATTAATTTTCAAGAAATATTACAAAATATTAATTACTTTTAAAAAATGTGAGATAAATATAAGTGAATTAATTATAAGACATTGTAAAAAACTTTGTAAGTTGTGCAATAAAAACCTGATTATATTATTAATTACTTTTAAAATATTAAAATATATTATTTCTATAAAATGAAGTTTTAATAATCATATCTTTAGATTTATATCATATATGGATGTAGGAGTTTTTCATGTTAAGGACTATTAGTTTTCATCGTTGAACTTGATTACGTCATTTAATCGAATAAAATCGTGTCAATAGATCAAGATAAAGGGTCATGTGATCGAAGAGACAGGTTAATTTGGAAAGAACTTTACCCATTTAATTCTCATTGCATTGTCATCCGTAGAAAAGGTGAGTCGTAGAAGTAAACTAATCGATATTGCGAACACATTAGCGACCTAAACAAGTTTCTTAAACATTAGATAGATGTTTCTGTAGGTATCCGTACATATATATATGAATTATAAGCATGTGTGAAACTTTATTCACAATTACTAGCTATTACGTGCGTAGGGTAAAAGTGGAGAAGGTGAAATCATTTAACTCTTTATCTTGTCTCCATCTGATTGTCTTTGACAACGAGCATACTACAACATATAGTTAATAATTTTACCATTGAAACTTATTTAGCTAGGTCATTGCCTTTTACGAATTCTTCTTTTATACCTTTATAAAGAATAATACGATCTTTGACCTTTGACCATTGCTTTTTAATCTCCCAAAAAATTAAACGAATTTTCTCTAATTTCAATTGATGATTATTATTCGATCAAAAATTGAATGACTATTAAATTTAATCGAAATGATATTAAAAACATTGACATATTCCACTGTCAATAATTATCGACATATATGTCTCTCGTATAATTTCCATCCTAAAAAAAAAAAAAAAATGAACAAAAATATTTCCGTATTTCATTATTTACTCGTATGCTTGAACGTAAGTAAACAAGAAATAAAAAGGGTACAAATATCTTCCTTTCCTTTTTCCGGTTTATTCGAAATCCTCGCAAATTTACTTTCCTTTTATCTGTTAGTTTCGTAACTTCGAAAGCATTGATCGAGAATCTGCCCGAGTTGAATAAATTTCGGTTATGTGTTCGCGGCATGGTTGTTATTATTATTATTATTATTATTATTATTATTATTATTATTATTACAAAGTAGCGTAAATTTATTTCGGATGTTACGTAATAAATGTCAGTATTACACTTTTCAAAAATGGGAATGAAATTTCGAGATATTAAATTGACAAACAAGACGTAAAAATAATTTTTCTCGATTTATGGAAATAAATTGGAGTATTACTTAACAATAGTAATATATATATATATACCTATATACGCAGGCATAAATAAAATTCGTAAATTACAAATGTTGCACACAAATAATCAACTTTAATTGAATCAATTGTAAATCCGAGACATACTAAGCGGTCGATTTAAATTCTCATTGTGTTCAATTTGATTAGGATGATTTATATATTAATTAAACCAAACCACTAACGAGCAAGCCAATTCATGTACGTTGAGTACGTACTAACAATTAGAAGCAAATTCAAGGAGGATGAAATTGAGATGGATTATCGAGAAGACAATTTATCGTTTCATGACAAAGTCAGATTCAGATTCAGATTTTTCATTGATTATTTATGTTTTCATAAATATATCTTAAATTTAAATTGATGATAATAATAATGAACACGTTAAAATTGAATTATACAATAACTATCGTAATTGTTTCCAGACATAAAGATACGAGACTGTGCAAATTGCTATACTTTTTTTTTTGTATTTTTATTTTACCCTCATCATCGAGAAATATATTTTTAATTTATTAAATCTCGCTAATCTCTAAGGTAATTTAAAAAAAAACGTTTTCAAATTATGTCTGAAAATTTAAGTACTATTCACCGACGATTTTAAAACTACTCAGTCAAGTGTTAAAAAGAAAGAGAGAGAGAGAGAGAGAGAGAGAGAGAGAGAAATTAAAATCATCGAATAACTTAAATTTATCTCAAAAAAATTCGAACGAACGTGTTGGCCTTTTGAATCGTTCTCGAGTGAAAAAACAAATATTACTTTTAAATATACACTAAATTAATTTTGTTGGTGAAACTAAAAACAAATTTTTATCTTCTTGACCTTATTGTTAGTAGTTAATAATGCAAAGCAATCAACGAACTCGTTTATTGTTTTCGAGATTGATTAAAATAAATAAAGCAAGAGTGACGAGAGAATTCCTTGGCGTATCGTTACAAACGTATCTTTGTATTGCTTTTTATTCGTAATTAAAATTTGTTTATTGAAAAAAAAAAGAAACTCCAGGATACAAAAAGAACAAAGTTCGAAGATGTAAAAAGTAATCGTGGATTTGGTTGCGATACGTGAAGGATAAAATTTAATTGTTCAATCGAATTATGTGTCGAAATTATGAAAATCATTTAAATAGTTCATCTCTACAAATATTTATCTAATAATATTGAATGTAAAAAAATAAATAGAAATTTATATCATTTACTATCAGCGATGTTTTATGACAATAGAAATGATTCAAAAGCTTGTAATTCAATTTCATAATTGAAGAAAAAATTATTATTTTCCCCCTAGCCCTCTTCCCCACTTTTCTATAAACTCATCTAATTTACAAGCATTATCGAACTTTTTTATTAACAAAATGTTTCAGTGTGAGTAATTGTATAGTCGAAATTCTACATATTATACAATATATACAAATTATATATATATATTTTCTTATAAGTTTCACGTGTTTATATATGCATTTATTTTTTGTATAAAAATTAAAAACAATTAATTAGAGGATTAAGATATATGAAATAAAAACTTACCGAGCATTTTAAGAACTTTCTTCGAATTTCTGCCAGGATGATGTTTACAACTTCTCTGAGATTCTCCACCGTTTCCAGGTTTTCTCTTCATCATATTAGATTTTCTTAATTTAAGACCAATAAGAATGTATAGAACGGTTATTAAACTCATAGGTACGATGAAGAATAAGAAAGTTGACATCTCGAAGGAATGTTTTATTATAACTCGTTTCACCGTACACATAACGATATCTTGATTAGGATTAACAACACCAAATTGTAATGCCTGAGGTAACGCGAATGACAATCCAACTAACCAGATAACTAAGATTAATTTAACGGCACGTGATAATTTCGACATGGTCTGTGACAAAAATGGATGACAAATGGCAACGTATCTTTCAACGGTAAATGCCGTGATCGTTAAAACCGATGCGTTGGTTGAAGTTTCAGCAGCCAATCCACGAATAACACAAAAACCTTCCCCAAAAATATACGAATATTTGCACCATACCAAATACATTTCGGCCGGTAAACCGGATATTAAAAGCAACAAGTCCGATATTGCTAAACTAAAAAGATAATAATTCGTTGCCGTGTGCATCGACTTGTTGCGTGCAATCACGATACACGTGCTTATGTTACCTATAGTACCACTTATGAATATCGATGCATAGATTATGGTTACGGGTATTACTATATACAAAGAATCCCTTCGTATTATCGTCGGTAAACTTTCTTCGTTTAATATACTTGATGTATTATTATGATAACACGATTCACAGTTTAATTGTTGAAGAATATTATCCTTAAGCGTTGAATAAAATGCACTTGTTGGTGCTACCAAACTAGCTGACAGAGTATTATCCATCGTTTCTTTTATCTTCTTTTCTTTAAGATCATAACTTTTCAAATTGACATTTGATTTTTATTTCTGATTTTTCTTTTATAAACATTCTTCGATCTTTTCGTTATTTTTCTTTCTTTACTTTATATATATATATTTTTTTTTTCTTTACTTAAAACTTGTAGCCGGTCGAAATGAACGTTTAATTTCACTTATGATTTTTCTTTTTTCGTTAAGCAATGCTCTTTTTTTCTTTTTTTTTTTTTTTTCTTTTGGTTCGTTCGAAAATAAACGTAGTTTTTGTGTTATTTAAGATCTCGAAGAAGAGTTGAGAGGATTTTTCTGCTATTTTTCTTCTGTTGCCTTCTAATTGATTTTGCTCCCACGTGATATTGGTAAGAATACGTAGGAGGGATACGAAAGAGATCGGAATCGTTTCTTTTCTTTTCTTTTCTTTTTTTTTTCTTCCCCCCCTTTGTAAATTGATTTTGATATCCACGTGACACCTCGGGAATGACACTCGAGAAGATAAAGTAAAAATAATTCAAATAAAAAAAGAGAAAGAAAAAGAAAGGAAACAAAAAGGAGAACTATATAATTCTATCTTATAAAATATATATATAAATAATTTTACTTCACCTACGAGATAGAACACACGCAATATTCAACAAAAATACGAAAATAAAGTGACGACGAGAATGGGGGTTGAAAAAAAAAAGAAAAAAAAAAGAACGTTTGAAAATAAACAAGAAAACAACAACGATCGACTAGAAACAAAAAAAAAACAAATAGAAAAAGAAAAAAGAAAAACTGGAAAACCAATCGGAATTTTTTTCCCCCCTTTCACACAACAAACAAAATTTCTATATAATTCTATACAACAGATTTTTGTGCATATAAAGAAAACGTGATTTTCTTCGGATGTGTGTGATGGATATACGCGAGAATAATAAAAAAAAATGAAATATAGAGGAAAGAATATAGGGTCGGAAAAAGAAATAAAAAAAGATGTTGTCGTTTTATAATATCGCACACGAGACCGTCACGAGTGCCGCACGAATCGCGACTGAGACGTTAAACACAAACGCGAAGAGGAGGAAATACCGGCCGGCACTTTCTGCGTCGTCTCTGACCATCCTCTTCCTCCTCCTCCTCTTCCATCTCCTTTTGCACCACCTCCTTTTCCTCTTTCTCGCGAAGAGGGGTATTCCATTTATCCGTAATAAATCAGTACTCTTCCTAACCCGCAGTTAATGGGTCGTATGCCCCATTCAGGCCCAATAACCAACACCTAAATATAACGAACGTACTAACCAATTTTAATTTTAACACACTAAACGTACCAACAGGTTTGTTCTAATGATCGTGTCCTGGAATTTGTAAAAATCTTTTATTAAACTGAACCAAAAATTCGCGTGAGTTTATTGTGTTATAAATTGCATAATGAATTGTTTGTTTGTATGAAACTTACTTTGGAAATAATAATAATTAAAAAAAGCACGAACTTTTTGGTTTATTCTAATAATTTGTACAAAAATTTGCTTGAAAACGCATATAATGTGAATACATTAATCATTTTGAAATAAAAGAAGATATATATTGTTTACTATTCAATTGAGAAATGGTCATTTGACTGCTCACGGTATAGGAATAGGTATAATATATTAAATTTTGATACGTTTAATATTAATTTTTATTTTTATTTCACTGAGATCAGTAACTACCCCCTAAGGGGTTGCAACTTATCAGTACACGTTTGTTATTTGTAGCTAAATTAAATTATGTGAGTGCTGAATACTTTTAGCTTAAATGTTTTTTAGAAACGGAATAGTTTATTATTAATACGACTGTTTCCGTTAATTAATATTATTAACTCTACAGATTCTATAATAATAAATTGTATTTAATAATTAAAATTTTTTTGTTTCTTATATATAATTTTCGTGTGACAAGTTTCAAAACAATAATCAATACGTAACATTACAGTATTTTACATCATTTCATATTGACGAACAAGTTTGAAAACTTTTAGCAAACGCATATATGTGTCTATAACAGTCAAAGGGTTAATGCATGTGACGTAACGAAGTAACCGGGCTCCACAATTTGCGGATTGGACCATGAATCTTTTTCCAGTGCACATGAAGATTCGATCAGCTGATGTTGGTAGTCTCTAACGCCTAAGAGAGTTATTCTAAATTTAAAATTAAACTTAAAATTCTAAACTTAATTCGTATCATCATATAGCAACCGTTTATTTTAAAAGTTGCCAAAGTCCATTTTAATATTTTTGTTGTTGATCGTAATAATATCTACAATTGGAAATTAATTGTCATAAAAAAAACATTTCACGGAAAAAATTAAAAATGGACATAGGTCACACACACACGGCTCATCTTTATTTTATATTATACACCTAATTCTGTTTTTAGATACTTTTTCAAAGAATACGTTGAAAAGTATTCGTGTAAAATAATATATCGCATCTATCGAATAGTAGAAGATTGGTTGTTTCGGTTCTAAGAAATCGGCTAAAAATAATACGATAAATCATGAGCTTTCAAAATGATCTTTTTAAAATTTGAGTCGATCGCGTAAAAATAAAGTTCGTGTTAAAATAAAATTGTGGGTGTAACTTTATTATTTAACAATTATCGTTAGAATAAGTATATTTTTGTTTATATACTGTTTTAAATTATTCTTATTTTTCTACCAAATATAGTCCTAAGAATTTCAAAGGTTTAACGTCACTAAGTTCTAAATCAAATTGCATTCTTAACTTTTTCATCTAATTCCATTATAAAGAAGAAAGCTTTTATTTTTTTCATGACAATCATTGTTTAGGAAAGATTGATAGATTTAAAAGTTTTCAGGAAGTGTCCCAAATCTTTCTTGATCTTTCCTCAACTAAATAATGAAACTTTAGTGATAGTATTGTATCAGTATTGGTTAAAACTTAGTTGACACTTTGTAAATTGGATTTCATGCACTTGAGCGACCATAATACGATATCGTATATGTGGATTTAAATAGACAGATATTAATATTATAAATATAATAATAATAATAATAATAATAAATAAATAAATCATTGGGATAGATGCAGAAATAAATATGTTGCATTTATTTATAATCAAGCGTCGTTATATAAAATGAATTTCTCTTATAATAAAATGAATACATTTATTTATGAATCCAAATTTATAAATTACGATATTTTATTAACGAGAAGAAATTTAATATATAGGGGGGGGGGAATTAAATTCTTAATATTAAACAATGTTTGAGAAATTAATCATTTTCTACGCGTATATCAAATTGATTCATAATTAAAATATGTTAATAAGTTATAAATTGAATTTTCTTACAGTAAAACGATAAAATTTGCTGAGTGCATGATATTACAAAAAAAAAAAACAAAGTATCCAAGAATAATTTTCTAAAAAAAAAAGTAACATTTATTTAAAAGATTATTATTCCATTATATATAATATATAATATAAAAAAAAAGAATTATTACTTTTCATAACTCGCTAATTAATTTCTCAATAAAGTTATTGCATTTCACGTACGCGCGATGGGTTTGCAATATTTGATTGGTTAGTTGAATTCGTTCATATGTAAACACGAGTCAGTGTGAGTAGCACGTGTTCGAGACGCACGTGTTTTTCCAACTCGCTAAAATAAAATAGTCATTTAAAGTTGAGAAACAACTAGATTGGATAGCTCTGAAAATAGATTTGTCAATTTTTTAAAATTTCTTGTTTTTTTTTTTTATTTGCGGATGCGTCTTTTTTTGAGAGAATGGATAAAACACAACGTAAGAGGAAGGGTCAAATTTAATCATTTCTATTTCGAGATATGATATCATCTTATATCATCTATAAATGTCTAAATATTTTCAATATGCTATATTTAAATGGATTAACAAAAAGGTATAAAAAAATGTTTTCGAAATGATGATTACTAAAAAACGAAGATATAAAAATTCAAGCCTTTTCAACGATTCATCGAATCAGAATAATGGATATTATAAAAGTAGATATATATAACTTACCTATAAAGATATCGAGATAGTAAATGTCAGGTGTTATATAAGAAAATATAAAAAAAACTATATATATATATAAAACTATTTAAATATTCGCGTTAACAAAGTGGAATTTCTTTTCCCAAAATTTTTCTCGAAAAATTTAATACTATTAATAAATTATAACTTGGTTCGAATAAAATTTTATCTATCTATAAAACGTTTCACGCGAATTTTAGGACTTTTGAAAATTTGCAATCTTTTCTTTCGTATTATTTTTTTGTAAGAATTTTACATTAAAAAGAAAGAAAATAGGGGGATAGAAATTTTGTGTTGCGACGATAAAAGGAAATTAATTAATGCAGACAAAAATTTTCATACCGTTTGTGTGCAAATGAAGTAATAAATTTGTGACACCGTGGATACCTGATATAATTAAAATAACGATGGAAACTTTTGAATCAATGGGACAGTCAAGGTTATTGCATGTCTAAGTTTAGCCAAATTTGAAATTCTTTTTTTCTTAATTTTGTTGTTTCTCGATAAGACCTTCGAATAATTTATTAATAATATTCATTGATTTAATTTGATACGATTTAATGTTCTGAAATATTTTTACATATATATATACTTTTGTTATCCCGAAGAACAATGATCAAAAATAAGATTGGTCGTTAAACTTATTGTATAGTTGTTATTTTTTTTCTTTTCGAAGTTACAATTAATCTTTTTTAATAAATTGACAGAAGTACACAAGGCTAACTTTCATAAATTAATTGATTAAAATGTTTCTCGTCTCAGCTAAGAATATTTTCTTCTTTTTTTTTCATTATATGTTCTTTAAAAATAGCCAAGAATTGACGTTATTCGCAATCGTATTTTCACAGAATTTTAATAAACATCTGTGACTACTTTATAGTCATCTCGTATGACGTTTTTGAATGTTGCTTTCTATGTGACACACACATACATCGTAGTTTTATATATATATATATATATATATATATATATATAATTTTCAGTAGATTCCTTTTCACGAAAACCTAGATTTACTTAAATACAAACTCACGTGTGAATACATGAGTGAAGGACCTAAAACGTTGCAGGAAACCATAAGTATAAAACCCATTGCGTTTTCAACGAGAGATATGCGTATTATTTATCTTGTCTTTCTATATTTATATATTTCTCTGTACCTTTTTCTTTTTACTCTTTCTCGTATTAAACTTTTATGAAATCTACAAACAATTCCAACGGTAACAAAATAAAACGACGCAAACTTTAAAAAGCAATAACGAAATTAAATTACATTTTAAGGCCGGACAACAATAAAGAACATTATGATAAGATAATCTATACAAAAAAATAATAAATAAATAAATATATATAAATGACATAGGGGATAATAATAATTATGATAAAAGATCTATATAGGTTAACGTAATTAAGCAACGATAAGCTTCCCACCGATAATTCGCATAATTTCCATAATTTGCATATTTAATATAAAGAGTTATGTATGTATATCATACACAAAATATTTACATGTATATGTAATATAATTATTTATTTGCCCGTTTAAAAAGTGTTTTGTAAAAATTGATATTAAATAGTAATAAATGTTAGAAATGAAAGAATACAAAAAATAAAAACAGAAAAAATCAATCATATCGGCAATACTTATTTTTACTTCGATATTTACAAAAAAAACAAAAGTAATATTTATCGCAATGAGAATTAAATCAAACTTTTCTACAACGATCAAAAGATTTTCTCTCTCTCTCTCTCTATCTCTCTTCTGTGGGTTAAAATAAATTTATCTTGGAGATAAGAAAACTTGGAGATATTATTAAAATGAATTACGAGAAAGCTTTCCCTTTAATCGCGTGTAATCCACTCCTGTCTTCTTTTTCGTATTCATTTTACTTTCTTCCTTTTTACGTATTACCGTTCTGCTTACTTTCTTTGGAAATGTATTATATTTCAAATAATTTCCTATATAGAAAAAAAAATTATGCATCTATATATATATATTATATTCTTTTTCTTTTTTTTTATTATTATTTTCTTTAATCAATTTTGTAACGAAAAGATAATAGAATTAATTTCGTGTTTCGAAAGTTAATTAAAATTTACAAATGCCCATAATAAGTAAATATTGTTCATATTTATATGTATATATAAATATATACATTCGTAGACAAGATAATTAAGCGTAATTCGTTTCATCTGTTAAATGATTATAACAAATGTTACGTGGCAAATTGATGGTCTTTAGGAATATCTTATTCGACTGATATTAGGATCAGATTGGACCACCTGAAAATAAATAAAGAAAAAAATTATTAATCAATCAAAGAGAGAGAAAAAAAATGAATTAATCCGTTAATTCATTAATCGTACTTCTAAATCATTATTATTATGAGGTAATTTACTTACATTGAAGCTATTAGTGGTTCCTTGATAAGAATAGATGCCTCCTAGAATATAACGATAATATCCGAAATGTTTGATACGATATTCACCAAGTTTAACATCTTTTGGAATTTCCCAGGTAATGTAAACCTGACTCGAACCAAGGACAACAGATTTTCTGACCCATTCGAATCTATGATAAAAAAAAAAATAATAATATAATCGAATCGTATCTATTTTCTATATTTAAATTTGACAAATATTTCATTTAATCTAAATTGTTTATTAAATTATTAGAAACGCATACTTTGTTTCCCAGTCAGCATCCGTAGCAACAGTAATCCAAGTATTGTTATTTATCGCTAATCGTTCGATTATCAAATACGTTTCATCCGTCATTAGGTTATTTCGCGGATGTCCCGAGATCTGGAAAATGAAAATTAAATCAAACGTTGAAATAAATAATAGACGATACACGTTATAAACATTATTATTCTATCGATTTTATCATCTTGTTAATACGCCCATTGAAAATACGGGAAATTGTATTATTACATATACATAATATGCAAATGTGATTATATTTGATTTATATCATTTAAAAAGAGTATTGATATATATATATATAATGAACTATTCAACATTTATTCATTCATTTTCGTAACAATTGTATGTATGTAATACGAAAAACGATAACAGTATTAAAATTATAAATTCAATACGATTGGATGTTATGTAATTTATAATTTATATAAAATGTTTTATAATTTATGATTTATATAAAATGTTTCATTTAGTTTTCTTTTTTTTTTTTTACCCATTATAATGATTTGATTATTATATCTATTTTTTCTTTATTGCAACTTCTTATTCGAAGAATGATAATCATATTTTTTTGTCTGAAATGATCGCTATAGAAAAAGAAAAGAAAAATAACATTTCCAACTTGTTACTCACGAATGATACTTTGACGATATCTCCAGGATAAACGACAGAATTCGGTTGTATCACACAATCGCCAAAATTGTATCCCCAGCTTGCCGCATCGAAAAGAACCGGTGTGATAAAGCTGATCATTTTTTTCGAGCTTAAATACTGCGGGCTAGGACCCGGATTAACTTCTTTCTTCTGCGAATAATATAATAGATTTTTATTTTGTTGACCAATAACAAATTTGATTTGGAATATAATAAGTCAAAGAAAAAAAGGTTTATAATAATTGATAAAATTAAATCAACGAATTATAATATATACTATTTTTTTTTATTAATTACTTACTTGAATGGCAGACATTACAAGATTTTGATATAATTTAAGATAAATAGTTAATGTATGTGGACCGTATATAGTGGATGCTCCTTCGTACCTTTGAATCTAAAAATCAATAAAGTACAACACTTGATAACGATCAAATGATAATGATATAAAACAAAAACAAAAGTATGTTTAACATTCTTGGTACGATAATAACATTCATGTCCTGTAAAACTATACACGATAGATTCATCTATCAACATTCAAAGTGAAACAAGATAAAAATGTCTCGATCTTAATTATTCATTTAACCGGTTTCCATACTTAAGACAATTTTTCAAACAAATATTTAAGAGTCATTAATAATTTGAATAATTCGTATTCGTTGAGGGAAAAGAATGTTAATGTAAAAAAAAGAAAAAAGAAAGGAAAAACCTGTGAGATAACGTTGAACGAACAAAACTAAAAAAAAATTGTAATCCTGAATTATAAGAAGAAGAATCATAAGAGTTGATGTTAGAGAAATGCTCGTTACACCGAGAGGTTTTACAAAATGAATAGACGTACTTGGTATTCCTCTGGGGTGGTAATGTAATCACTGTAAGTATTACAAAGGCCTGCGATTATCACAGTGTAATCCTCATCGTATGTGACGCTATTCGTAGCAGTTTTGATAGCCTCTCTCAGTCTTCTTCCAGACATTGTCGTGAATTCACCTGGTACTCCAGCGATAATAACATTTCCAATAAAAGCGACCTGCGTTGAAACGATTCTCGGTTGCCACTGGTACGGGAACTTCATCTTCAGCAAACAAGATTAATGTGTTATATAGAAGAAAAATAAAAGAGGAAAAATAAAGAAACGGAAAAAAGAGAAATCACAAAGATATTAAGAATGAAGTTATTATTGTTAGACTGATTTTTCACGTTATTTCATTAAATACTATTATTCGATTATATAAATATATATTTAATATTATATATATTAAATATATATTAAATATAAATATAATATAATAATAAATATAAATATAATATATATTTAATNNNTATATATTATATTATAAATATTATATATATATATATATAATTGTAATTAACAATGTTTCATTCATTCGATACTTCGTATTATGAATTAATTTATATAAAGGTAATATATTTTATTTAACAGTCATTCGATGATCAATTAACTGTGATGATTTATTATAATTAAATTTACAAACGATACGTTATAAAATCAATTTCGAATTTAATCTTTCATAGAATTTTGTTTGTTCAATATACTAAATCGTATATATATATAAAGTTTATGATAATATAATAAAATAAAAGAATTAAATAAGAATTAAATTATATAATTTATCAAATATTATTATGTAAAATATGTTTATTATTTTTGAACGTCATCCTATCATTTTTTATATAATTTAATTACATATTACTTTTATCGAAATAAACGAATCGATGAATGAATTATCATTTGACTTTTTTATTATTGTATATTATACTTACTCGACCTGTGGCAAGTAAAATAGGTTTAGGACTGTGACAACGAATGTCTTCATCTGTAGGAGCAGCTAAAAAATTTCGTACTGCGTTCCAAAAAGGATTAGAAGTCGTGGTACCTTGTTCGAAAGAAAACGAACCTGGCCCATCAGTTGTACCAGCAGCAAAACTATAACCCATTGCTGGTAAGCAACCATATACCTAAAATAAAAAATAAGAATAAGAATGAGACAAAAAAACAAAAAGAAGACAATAAAAACATTTTTATATAAGCAAGAACCTTAGTCCCGTTTATTTATTTATTTATTTATTTTCTTTTTTTCTTTCTTAGAAATTTATTCTCTATCCTTCGTTTTGCTCTGAATACGATAATGGTAATAAAGATATGAATTCTCTTATTTAGTTCAAACATTAGAAAAAAAAAAAATACTCATCGGTATAACAATTATCTCACAAATACCAATACTACTTGCGCTTGGTACGGTGAAATATAATGATTTTATGTAATCCGAGATCATCGACTCGGCAAACGCTATAATTCTATATAAATGGAAATTTTCGCAGGATTAAGAAATACGTACGGTTTAATCGATATCATTGTTAGATGCAACGCGTATGTACATATATGTTTATTATATATATTATATATTTCATGTTCCGATCGATGAATCGCGTGAAAGGTTTTACAGACAAATTTCAAAATAATAACGTTTAGCAAGAATCGCGCGATCGAATGTAAATTGATATATTCGTTGTTAAAATGATTGAACAATATAATAACGAAAATAAATTGAATGTTTGTCATATGTAAATAAATGGCTATAAAAATTGATAAAACAATTTCAAATGAAAACGTTTTGTATTGAACGTTTAAATGACAAAAATATATTAAGTTAACCGTGTAATAGTTTTCTCTCTTTTATTTTTTTTTTGGAAATTAAAATATTTAAGTAAATATATTATTTTACTATAATATATTGAATTAAAATGGCTCATAGAAATAAAAGTTAGTTTCTGTTTCTTTTTTACTTATCGTAGAAAAATGTGTTGATTAAATTAATATAAATTATTTATTTACTGAAAGAAGAGTATATTTAAATTTTTCTAATAAAAAAAAATATCTTTACTTTCTCAAATTCTCCTGTAGTTTTATTATAAAACGTTGCAGATTCCTTAGGCATATCAACAAATTGATGTACAACACGTATCGGACCGACTACTTCCTTCGGACGACCATTCTTCCAAAGATCCTGTAATAAACAAACGAACAATTATTATTTTACAATTTCTCAATAGTTCCTTCGCGTTTTTATTATAAAACTTTGAATTAACTTAATTAATTTTGTTATTTTAAATGACACTGATATTATATTTTATTATA